AAAACACAAAAAAAAGGAAGTAAACAAATAAAATAAAAATTAAAAAGTAAAGAGAAAAAAAAAAAAGAAAAAAAAAAAAAAAAGAAGAAGAATTAAATAAACTATGAAAGACGAAAAAACAAAGAAGAAAAAGTATTAGTAGTGCCGGAAGATTGTAGTGAAACTTTAGATGAATTTAGTTTGTTTATCTTAAAATACGCTTTTAATTTAATGTAATATTCTTATTTTTGAATTTTTTTTTTTTTTTCTAGCTTTTCCTGCTTGTTTTCATTAATTTTTTCTTTTTTTCTTATACTGTTTATTATTATATATACTTATTATTGTGTTTATTATTGTTATTATAATAGTTATTATTGCTACTAGTATTATTACTATTATTATTTTTATATATCTATATAGTTTGTTAGCTTAGTTACTATAGTTTTACTTATTAACTTATTATACTAAGCAAAGACATTAGTTTATTATTATATTTTCCACTTATTATAACAATAATATTTTACTTATAATCATTTATAATTTATTATTATTTTAATATAAATTGTTTTAATTTATACTTACAACTTATCATTTAACCAATTATAACTTTTTTTTAATATATATTTACGTTATTCTTCTTTTACTATATTAATAGTATTTTTTCATTATATATTTTAACTGTTAAATAAATATTATTTTTGTTTTACTATTTTATCAATTGAATTATATTTCAGTTCATTCAATCATTTTATTATATAAACTGTACCACTTAAATGTCTACTCACTGCAAAGATTGCTTCAAGAAAATTAATAAAAACCATCACTACCTTCAATGTTATCATTGCCTAAACCTTTTTCATAAAAAATGTTGTCGTCTGAATGATATTGAATTTAGAATATTGAAAAACTCTAAAACATCTTGGTTCTGTATTTCATGTAGGGAAAAAATTTTTCCATTCAGTACTTTATCAGATAAGGAGCTGCACCTGCAAACAATAAATGATAAAGTGATTCATATTAATGAATTCGAAAACAACATATCATCTTTCCCAAACACCGTACAGCCTAATCTTTATAATGAACTTAATGATTTTATTTCCCATCAACTTAATAACAACAATGACAATGACGTAAACCTCGAAGAATACCCTATTAATTTTAAATATATGGACATAGAAAGTTTTAACTCTTCTAACATCGACAAAAATATTTTTTCTCTTTTTCATTTAAATATTGCTTCTCTTGTTAAAAATTTTGACGAATTAAACTCACTTTTATCTCTTATTAATCATAAATTCAGTACTATTGGCATAACTGAAACTAAACTAAAACATGACATTTTACCAACTATCCCATTAAATCTTACCGGTTATGTTTATGAGCACACTCCAACAAAATCTTATTTTGGAGGAGCATTACTTTATATATCGAATACATTAATTTACAAACTTCGATATGATCTTAATATGCTTAAACCAAAACTTTTAGAATCTGTGTTTGTGGAAATCATAATTCCTAAAAAATCAAACATCATTATTGGCTGTATTTATCGCCATCCTAGTATGGATATTTCAGAATTTATTAAATCATATTTAATTCCACTTTTTGAAAAGCTATCTATGGAAAAAAACAAAACTACTTTTTTAATAGGCGATTTTAATGTCGATCTTTTATTAGCAAACTCAGATAATTCTGTCTCTGAATTTTTAGACACTATTGCTTTAAATAACTTTCTTCCCTTTATTTCATTGCCAACAAGAATCACAAATCACTCCAAAACTCTAATTGATAACATATTTTCTAATGCAACTTCTACAAATATTTTTGCCGGTAATTTTACTTCTACGGTATCAGATCATTTGCCCCAATTTTTAATACATCCTCTTTATAGAACCAAAATTAATTCTCGTAAAAGCTGCATTTTTCGTCGAAATCTAAAACAAATAAATTGCGTCGAGTTATGTAGTGATTTCTCAAAAATTAGCTGGATTAATGTAATCAATGTCAACGAAGGTAAGACTAATAAGTCATTTGAAGAGTTTTTCTCAAGTTTCAATTCTCTTTTAGATAAACATGCACCATTGAAAAAAGTCAGCAATCGTTGCTTATCAAGGGGTCTCAAACCTTGGATAACACGAGGAATCTTGACTTCTATTAAAATGCGAAATAAAATATTTAAAAAATTTCTTAAAGCAAAGAATCCTAATAACAAACTCAATCTAGAAAAATCTTATAAAGCATATAGAAACTTACTTGTTACTCTCACCCGTCGTAGTAAAAAGAACCATTACTCTAAGTTCTTTTCTGACAATGCCAAAAATTTGAAATCTACATGAAATGGTATTAAGAACCTTTTAAACATTAGTTCGAGAGTTAACTCATCTCCTTCATGCTTATCTTCTACCAACTCCATGATACACGACCCCATTAAAATTTCGGAATCTTTTAATTCAGTTTGTTTCAGTTCCGGAAGATTTACAGAATAAGATCCACTCATCCAATACTGACTTTAATAAATATCTTAAAAATCCTAATCTTAATTCAATGTTCATAAAACCTACAGACAAAAACGAAGTATTATCGATTATTCATTCTCTTAATGACAGCAAGGCTTCTGGACCTAACAGCATTCCAATACCTATTTTTAAAGCTCTTGCAAATGATATCTCTCCTGTACTTTCTGAACTATTTAATCTGTCATTCACAACCGGTGTATTCCCTGATATTTTAAAAACTGCTTCTGTTATCCCAATTCATAAAAAAGACTCAAAACTTGAACGTAATAACTACAGACCAATTTCATTATTATCAAATGTCAGCAAACTTTTAGAAAAACTTATGTATTCTCGTATTTACAACTTTTTAAATAATTCTGCTTGTTTTCATATTCGACAATTTGGGTTTCGCTCAAATCACTCCACTTCTCACGCTCTTATTAGCATTACTGAAATGATTCGTGGTGCAATTGACAGTGGTTCTTTTGCTTGTGGTGTATTCATAGATCTTCAAAAAGCTTTTGATACGGTTGATCACAACATTCTAATAAAAAAGTTAAACTACTACGGAATACGTGGTATTGCTAATCATTGGTTTTCTTCATATATTACGGATCGCACTCAGTTTGTTTCAATTAATGGATTTGAATCCACACATAAAGTTATTAAATATGGCGTTCCACAAGGTTCCGTTCTTGGACCGTTGTTGTTCTTATTATATATAAATGATTTATCTTGTTCGTTAAAAAATTCTATGATACATCATTATGCTGACGATACCAATCTTTTATATATCAACAAATCCCTCACGACTATTTGTAAAAAAGTTAATCAAGATCTTCATCGCTTATGTAACTGGTTAAATAGTAACCGTATTTCCTTGAATGTCAATAAAACTGAATACATTATTTTTCATTCCCCTCAAAAAACTATTGATCATATTAAAATTAAAATTAACGGTAAAAAACTTTTTCCATCAAAATATATAAAGTATCTTGGAATATATCTTGATGAAAACCTATCTTGGTATAATCAACTGTATCATCTAAAAAAAAAACTTACACGAGCTAACAGTATGCTTTCTCTAATTCGTTACTATGTTCCTATCCAAACTCTTCGAATGATTTATTTTTCTTTATTCTCTTCTCACCTTTGCTATTGTTGTATTGTTTGGGGTCAAAAAAGAAACTTTTTACTTAACAACATTGCTAGTTTACAACGCGCATCTATTAGAATAATGACGTTTTCCCCAATGAGATCTGATATCGAAAAAAAATTTTCTGAACTAAAAATCCTAAAACTCCATAATCTTGTAAAGTTTTACAATTGTCTTTTTGTGTTTGACTTTCTCCAAAATAAACTACCAAGCCCTTTTTCAAATTTTTTTATTAAAACAAACGAAGTTCATAATCATCACACCAGGAATACAGAAAATAGTAAGCTATACTATTCTTTTTTCAGCACAATCAAATATGGTAAGTTTTCCATAAAACAACAATGTATCTCTCAATGGAACCAGTGTATTCCTGCATTAACAAAAAAGTCTAAGAAAAAATATCCACTTGTTACGAATTTTTTACTGCTCAACAGAATTCAATTTAAAAATATATTGTTGGAGTGTATTTCTTTATAATTTCTCTCTGTACTATAGTTGTCTTGAGGTTTGATTTTTATTTTATTTATTATTTACCAATCTTATATTTATTTATTATTGTGTTATTAATGTTACATTTTATGTTATTATTATATCTAATTATCATCTATGATTTGTACATACAATTTATATTGTATTATAATATTCTTAATATTATTGGTACTTTATTGTTATTGTTATTATTTTGTATTATTACTATTATTATTACATATATCATTATTATTTGTTTAACAATCTTTTCTTCTTTTCTTAATTATTTATATAAACAGATATTGAGTTTTTCCTTTTTTTTTTTTTTTTTTTGTTTTGTTTTGTTTACTTTAGTTTGCTTTTTTTTTTTTTCTTTCTATTTATTTATTTTTTCGTGAAATTTTTATGTTTTTTAGGTGTCACTCCATTGACTAGTTTGTAACTATATGAGTGACACCTAACCAATTTATATTAATTTACGATGAAATTTGTAAATTTTATTGATATGGTTGAATAAAATATTATTAAATATATATATATATATATATATATATATATATATATATATACATATATATATATATATATATATATATACACATATATATATATATATATATATATATATATATATACATATATATATATATACAAAAATATATATATATACAAAAATATATATATATATATATATATATATATTATATATATATATATATATATATATACATATATATATACATATATATATATATATATATATATATATATATATATATATATATATATATATATATATATATATATATATATATATGTATATATATATATATATATATATATATATATATATATATATATATATATATATATATATACAATTATAAATTTTTTTTTTTTAGGTTTATATTACTGAAGTATCATCAGTCCGTTTACGCGGAGTATTGGGTGCCATAAATCATTATGCAATTATTTTAGGAATATTTTTATTTCGCATGACGGCGAGTCTTTGGAGCGATAAGTTTTGTAATACTATAGTTGGGTTAGTAGTGATTGTACTAAGCTTTTTTATGGTTCTTATGCCAGAAACTCCGAGGTGGCTAATTGCTCATGATAAACAAGATAAAGCACTTAAAAACCAGCTTTGGCTTCTTGGTATTAAATCTGATGCTGAAGATGAATGCAATCAAGTTAAAATAAATTTAGGTCAGAATTTAATTTTGTTGGATAAGTAGATTACACATAATCTTATATTTTATTTAAAATTAAATAGTTCACTGATTTCCAAATTCCATTACCCTTTAATTTTTTACAATTTAAGGATCGTCCTTTACGTCACGCGATAGGAGGGGGAAGGGGTCAAATATTTTGTGATGATTTGTAACAGAGGGAGTAGGGGGAGCATTCAGTTTTGTGCAGAGTTGTTAGCAAGGCCAAGACCAAAGCCAAGGACAAAGCCAAGGCCACATGTTAGAAAGCCAAGTCGAAGAACAAGAGTTTTAAAGCCAAAGCCAACACAAATATATCCAAAGACTTAAATTTTTGTCATACATTAATAAAGTAATTGCGTAAATAAAGAATGATTATTTACTTAAATAATTTTTTAAAACATAGAATGAAAATTTTTATTTCTTTAATTATATCTATTTTATTATAAAGGCAAAGGCCAAAACAACCAAGGTCAAGGTAAAAAATTTCAAAGCTTAGACCAAGGTCAAGGCTAAACGTTTCAAGGCTAAGGCCAAGATCTTAACTTTTGGCCATAAGGCCAGGTCAAGGCCAAGACCAAGGCCAAGAACTAACAACTCTGGTTTCTGATGCAAAATATTTTCTATTGATTAAAAGGCTTAGTTTTTTTATTGATATTTATTAATTAAAAGTCCTAACCTAAAACAATTGAGTGTGGCTGTTCCACTTTGACATAAGTTTGATTGACTTTTTATAAATAGACTTCAATTTTAGTCAATCATAATTAGATTTTTTTTTTTCTGCTAAATGCATTTCATTGATAGCTAAGTAGTTAAATGCGCTTTCATCAATGTTGTTTCGGAGTGTTTAAGACCTTCTCTTAGCGTAATAAATTTTGAAATTTTTCAATCTTGCTTATATGTAAACCACACGGGTAAAACCACAGATGTCCCATTTTTCTCATTTTGAAAAAAATGAAATTAATTGTTTAGTGGCATTAGATATCTGTTTATTAATGATTTATTTAATTAAAAGTATATTTTTCTAACATTTTAGTCCTAATACAGTATAAAAACGTAGTTTTTTTTTTCACAGTGTTTTTTTGAAAACAAAACACTCATTTCGGACATCTGTGGTTTTTCCGTTGTAAACTCATCAACTCATAAATTATGTTAGCATTTAACCTTTTTTTTTTTGCACTTTTCTTTTTAAATGTAGATGGTAACACATTGTAATATACAACTACAACGTACCAAGTGTGTGATGGGATAAGTAAGTCATCCCCCCCCCCTTTTTTTTTTAATTAAAAAACTCAAACAAAATATTATTTAAAAGTTTTTTTTTTAAATTTATACAAAATAGCATTGCAACCTTATCTCTTCCCCAACCTCATCTATTTATCACAGATGGTTCCATGATGTCTGTGTTCTATCACTTTATATCAAGTTTGTATAAACCATACAAAAACCAATTGTGAACACAACGTTAATTAAAATGTTTTGTTTTCAGTTTTAAAGAATAATAATATAAATTAAATAATGTCTTATTTTGCATATTCCAAAAATGTTTAGATTTAGTAAGTCTTTAAATTTTTAACAAAAAAAGGCAACAGAACTATGTATGGTTTTTTTAGTTATTCAGGCACTTCGATCATTGATCTAAACATATTAAATGTACCACACATAAAATTAGGTATTTCCATTTTTCCATATAATTAAAAATTAAACTTTTAATATTTCCTAACTTTTAATATTTAATTTCTCTAAGTAAGTATGTTTTAAATGAACAAACAACCAAGAAGTTTGGCATTTGGCAAGAATTTTTCTTGTATTATGTTTATATATAATATTGAATTGTTATAGTTTTTTGTAAGATCGTCTAGTGTTTCTGCAAGAAACCTTTGATTTGCAATGGCCAATGATTCTTTTACATTTTTCAAAAGTGTATTGCTTATACATAATGTGACAGAGTTCTAATTGGTAATGAAACAGTAATGCTGTCAAGTTTTTCAGTTTTATACACTAGATAATAAAATCAAATTAAAACTTTTCATTTTGTATTTTGCCTAGCTCATTAATTGCAAATCAATTTAATATCCTTTAAACTTGGGACAATTGATAATTAAAAATCATGCAGCAAAGAACATACAACATCAGACCATCTATTTTTAACAGTTTCATCATAGCAATAAAATATATAATTTTTAAGTTGAAAGTATATTAGTGTTAAAAAAATAAAACAGGTATTGCCTGGAATAGTATACATATTAGTTTTAAACGTTTAGGCATTTTATTTTTTTTTTTTTTTGAAATCGAAGCAAATTTTTTCGCAACTAAAAAGATTAGAATCAGAATATTATTGAGTCCATTTTCTACTATTTTTAGAATACAAAAGGTATGCCTTATAAATTTACATAAAAGTTAAAATAATTCAAGAAAAATATTTTTCATTATAAAAAAAAACTTATTTTATATATATAAACTTTAAAAATATATATATATATATATATATATATAGTATATACATATATATATATATATATATATATATATATATATATATATATATATATATATATATATATATATATATATATATATATATATATATATATATATATATATATATATATATATATATATATATATATATATATATATATATATATATATATATATATATATATATAATATATATATATATATATATAAATATATATATAAATATATATACACATATATATATAAAAATATATAAATATATACATATATATATATATATAATATATATATATATATATATATATATATATATAATATATATAATACATATATATATATATATATATATATATATATATATATATATATATATATATATATATATATATATATATATATATATTATATATATATATATATATATATATATATATATATATATATGGTTTAAATGTTGACATCTTGTACGAGAGTATATATATATAAATATAAACTAATTTAAAACATCAGATAATACGAGTTTTCTCAATAATTATTTAGTATTGAGAGAATTCGTATTATCTGGTGTTTTAAATTAGTTTATATATCAATGGCGTACCTACGGGGGGGGGGCTCACCGCCCAGGGTGTCATCCACTTTTGGGTGACACCCAATTTATTAATATCTTATATTTTATTTTGGTTTATAATTAAACAGTCTTACATAAAAAAATAAGTAAGTATTAATTTACACGATCTACGAAAGGCTGAATGCTGAAAGATATAGTTATCATTTTTTAGAAAATGTAATCGCTTAGCTTTCTTTCTTTCAGTAGGTTTGCTATTTTATTATTATACTTTACTATCAAATCAAATCCAGGTACTACTGTTTTTTTAAGCATATAAAAGAATAAAGGTGATTTTAGACGATTTTAGATGATAATAATTTATTATCGTCTAAAACAGAGATAATAATTATTTGGCAACAATTTATTTTCAAATAATTATTTTCTCTGTCATAGACGAGAATTATTTATAGAGAGTTATAGACTCTAAATTATTATTGTCGAAAACAAGGTTTAAAATTACATGTGTCAACGTTTCTAAATACTGCTTTAATAATTTCGTATATAAAAATAATTACATATAATATATGGGTGACACCCTATTTGCTGCCCCGGGTGACACCATAACTAGGAATGCATATATAACATACATATATATATATATATATATATATATATATATATATATATATATATATATATATATATATATATATATATATATATATGTATTATATATATATACATATATATATATATATATATATATATATATAAATATATATATATATATATATATATATATATATACATATATATGTATATATATATATATATATATATATATATATATATATATATATATATATATATATATATATATATATATATATATATATATATATATATGTATATATATATATATATATATATATATATATATATATAAATATATATATATATACATATATATGATTTAAATGTTGACATCTTGTACGAGAGTATATATATATATATATATATATATATATATATATATATATAGATATATATATATATATATATATATATTATATATATATATATATATATATATTAGGGTGGTTCAAAAATGGGTCATTGTAAAATTTCAACAAGAGTAGAAGCTTATAAGGTGCCTAGATGTTTGTTTTATATATAAAATTTTTTATTTTATTTTCGTTAATGTTTAAGGGTGGCCCAAGGGCCCTAAACATTTTATTTTTGATGATGTTTGTTGATTTTTCGGAAATTTCAACGCCCGTGGGCCACCCTATAACAATAAAAAAAAAAAAAAAAAAAAAACATTAGTAAACTCAAAATGAGTAATAGAAACAAATAAAAATGCACTCTTAATGAAATTTTTATGTAAAAAGTTTGAAGGAACCTGAAAAAAATAGTAAAATTGAATATTTGGCTTTTTCAAGCTTTTTTTTTTTAAGTTTCTTATGACGACATTTTTATAATTTTTTACAGTTAAACCGTCAAAGGTTTTAGATATCATACCACAATATTGCATTTTATATATAAATTTGAGAAAATATTTAAAAAAAACCTTTTTTTTTGTTGATCATGGTACAGTTTTGTTGACTAAAAAGTCAAATAATGCTGGAAGTAGCATTTGCTGCGAGATTGTTCTTCTTGGATCTCTGTTTACTTCTGTTGTAGACATGGTTAAACAAGAACATATCTTGCCTCTTCTCCTCCTTATTGGATTTCATAATAAGTTCCTGAACTAATTTGATAGCTCTCTCAGAAGAATCATTGACTACATCTAGAGGTTTGATGGTAGTCTCAAACTCTAGATAAAAATCATTCAGTTCCCAGAATTGTAAAGGGGTTTTAAGCCACTGCAACTCCCCCTTCCCATGGCCAATCTTATCAAAGATCAGCCAAGATTGGTTTGTAATAAGATATGCTAGGGATGGAGGCTGATTTTGGGAGTACTTTAGTGA